AGTATATAGTATTGTTTTGAATTTCTTTTTCAATATTAGCTAGATGTGTTCGCATAGGCAGGCTAGCATTTAACTTGCTACATATGTACGTAAGAGATGTTGTTTCTTTCACGATGTATACATATTATATACAATATCAAATAAAAGAAATGATGCTTACCTATGAGGGGAAACCCCCCAAAAAAAAAAGAAAAAAAGAAAAAATCATATCTAGTATTTTTGTAACCTTCAAAAATAATTGTCCAATTATATATTAAAAATTCCATATAAAATATAAAAACAATATTTTGGAACTGCTATTATCTTATCTTTAATAGATATTAAATAAATAAAAAACAAAATCATAATTTTAAAATATTTAAAAATAGATATATTCCAAAAAATATTAATTATTTTAAACAATAATAATAATTTTATTAGGAAAAAAATTTTTAATCTAATAGTTTTATTATTGATTTGAATAAATATTAGCTATTTAATATTTTTAATACATAAACATCTACTAGATGACAATATATACTAGTTATAGAAGTTGCAATAAATTATAATTAATTTACAAATTATATAAAAATTATTAATATATTGATCAGTTTAATAAAGATCTTATATTTAATATTTATTTACAATAAAAAAATTTTTTTCTTTGAAATATTTGTTTTTTAAATTTGTAAAAAAAATCAACAAATTGATTTTTATATATTGACTTTTTAATTTTCTTGTTATTTTTTTTTTAAAAAAACAATTTTTAAAAAATTTTGAATTATTAATAAAAAAAAAGTTTTTATGTTTTAAGATTTATTAATAAAAAAAAATTTTTTTTATATTTTAAAATTTATTTCTTTAAAAAAAAGATTTTTTTATACTTTAAGATTTATTTCTTTTAAAAAAAAAGATTTTTTATATTTTAAGATTTATTTTTTTTTAAAAAAAACAAAACAAAACATAATCAAGCAAAAAAAAAATAAAACAAATAAAATCAATAACCAAATATAAATTCTACAGTATATATTTTTTTAATTTATAAAAAAACCTACTGCAATTCTGACAAGATATGATTTTCTAATTAAAACAACCAATCAACTTTTGTATTTTTTCCAACAGGATTTTTATATAAGAAATCTGTTATGATACAGTATTTTTCAATAGATAAAATGTTACATTCTTTTTTAAAAAATTGTAAATATGTGAAAAGATTATGATTTTCAATGATTTTAAATAATAATTTTTATTTGTTTGGATTTATAGATAAACCTTAATAGTTCCATTTACCAATTTGATCCAAGAATGCTTATGAATTTTATTATTATGAATTTTTTTTTTTACTCAACAGTTTTAAATTTTCGAGAAGACCAAAACATCCGAGAATCACAAAGGCTAAGATACTCAATTGTCCGGATAGTTTGATGGATTGATGAAGAAATACTGGTGCCACTTCATGACTATGAATTTCAGTGGAGCTGTCGTTAAAATAAATGTGATGCTGGATTTGGGGGTAATATAAATCAAATGACGATAGACAATCCCTCCTTTTTTCTTATGTCTGATATTAAATCAGTTCCAACACATCGAAACACATTGTATATATCATCAAGATATATTTATAAAATTTTATCGTCAAGACAAATTTGCTACAAATTTGTATCATCAAGATACGTTACAAAAAGAAAAAATCAATTCAATAAGCAATTACAAAGTTTCCTCATAGATTGCCATCTTTGCCACCGAAAATCGTGTGTCTCGAATGAAAATACAAAGTTTTACCTTAGAAAAGTGTGAATTCGGGGAATTTTTCGTAGATAGATAATAATAAATTTTACCACTTAATGATCATAACGATAATAAAAATGCGATGTGGGTATAGATCGTGAAATAAACGACCTTTCCCAAAACAACTCGGAGTGAATATAAATACACCAGAATAGGTACAAACATGCATTGGATTGGTATAAAGAGAATTAATTGCTACGACAGTAAAAATCAAAGTAGAATAAATAAAGAAGAGTGGCGAGCATTTACAAATAGTTGCATCAAATACATAAAGATAAAGAAGTCGAATGCATAAAAATCAGATAAGAGAAAATAAGAATATATATATGTATGGTGGAAGAAATAATTTTTGCGTGAACCGGGCTATTTAGAATTCGAGTTCGATCGCGTGCCTATGTTGACCATCAATTTTCATATCTAAATCATAATCATTACACAAAATTGTAATTAGTTTACAAATAAGTCAAGCGACCTTGTTCCAGAAAAGCCATGAATGAACCCTTCCTTTCTGAAAACTCCCCCCAAAGTGTTAAATATTTACTCACTCAAATTTTTATTACTAGCTTCACTTTCCGACGGCGACGTCGGTGGAGACACTTCAGAGTGCAGTGGTGAATCGCTTTTGACGTCTGCCTCGGTTTCATCGTCGGGAGAATCACTTCTCACCGAATCAGAAACTTGATTTACTACTGAAGTGTTTATCATCAGTTTTTCGACGGCGGATGATGGTTTCACAAATACTGGGACATCAATAGTGGTGCTCCATAAGGGAACATTAAATTCTTCATTAGAGGATGAGAGGACGCGTGCGCCAACAAAGCCAACTCCTTTGTTGTCGGATGTTGTAGCATCGAGGGTATTATATTCTGCATCAACAGGCATGATGACATCATTAGTACCAGATTCTTCGGAATCAGGAATCGTAGCGTCAACAACTTCAGGTTTCTCGACAGTAGATATCGGAGTGTCAAAGATGCTTGGTTTCTCATTTTCGAGCACGGAATCGTTAACGATAATAGCATCAAAAGTGTCAATTTTTTCGGCGTCAGATACCTGAACATCAACAGCGCTGGATTCTTCGTTAGTTGGTGCGGAAGCATCAAGAACGCTAGGCTCCTCGGAATTAAACACAGGAGCTTCAACCATACCGAGTTCTTTGGTCTCAATAACGGGAATTGTGTTGGGTGCACCTAGTTCATTGGTATCAAAAACTCCGACAGTTTTAGATTTCTTGATATCAGACATGGAAACATTAATAGTACTATATTCTTCAGTGTCAGACGCAAGAGCATTAATGGTGGTGCTAGATTCTCCGGTGTCAGACACAGAGGCCTCAATAGTACTATGTTCTTCATTAGCAGATACTTCAGTAGTATCCGACTTGTTAGCGTCAATAGTATTTGATTCCCCGTCGATTGATGATTCATCAACGATGAAAGAAGTCTCCGTTGACGAGAAAAATTTCAATTCACTAAAATCAAATAATTGACTAGTGTAACACGTTATCGGGTGTTGAAATTCCTCGACTTCCAACCCAGATTCAATTTCTTCCACCATACTTGCATCAACCTCAATCCCACCTTCGGGTTCAACAACCGTCGTCGTCGTCGACTCTTCCTGCGATGTATTATCTTCTTCAACACTACTACTGGACGCCGCCAAAACCTGTGCTCCATGCTGAGGTGTGATTGATTGATATTGACCACGTACCCTCCAATTCTCGGCCAACGTAAATTCAGTGTTGACATCATATGGTAACTTTGGAGTTTCCACCAACTTCTTCAACCAACCACATAGTTTTTGGTGCACGAAATCAGCATCCGGACGATTATCCGGATTCTCATTCCAACATTGTTCTATCAATTCCATCCAACACGGCGGCGTGCCGGGCACCGGACTCGGTCGTTTACCTTCGAGTATCCCTAACGCCAATTTTGCATCATGCGATTGATCACTGAATGGCCTCTTACCACCTGAGGATATCTCCCACATCACCATGGAGAAACTATAAATGTCTGATTGTTTACTATACTTTTGGGTTTTTATCACCTCGGGGGCAATGAACGGTAACACACCCTCAACCTGTCCAATATTTAGTTTCCCCTTTTCAGAGTTCACGTGCTTGCATATGCCGAAATCCGCGAGTGCCGTTGAACCATTCTTCAGTATAAGTATGTTTCCGCTGTGGATGTCCCTGTGTATCAGGTTACAACTATGAAGAGTTTTTAATGACTTTGAGATGTCACAGGCCAATGCCAATTTCAACTGCCAGCTCATGTTCGCCGAGTTTTCTTGAAGGTAGTTGTTGAGATCGCCATGTTCCGCGTGCTCATAGACTATTATGAAGTTTTTGGTCTTCGGATCTTTGGATATTCCGTATACGGGCATTATGCTATTATTCCAAGATATCTTTTTATAGTACCTATTAAGCTTTTGGAAGGAAGGCCGATGGTCAGGATAAAGCTATAAATGGATTGATGCATTCAACTAGAAAAAAAATAGATACCAACCTCACCCAAGTACACCTCCGAGATGTTCTCAGAATCGTGCAATTGCCTTAACACAACCTTCTTCCTTACGTCTCTCTTCAATTTCTTACTTTGCTTGTCCACAATATTCCTTGGACCGTCCAACCAAGTCGCCAACGATAGCGAAGCATACGTACCGTCACAAATGTATTTCACCTCCCTAAGCCGGTCATACGATATCCACTCGAGATAGTTTACCTCTGACTCAGCGAACAACTGAATTTCCTTTATGAAATTATCAATCATTTTGTTGCCGCTGGTCCACTTGGGGAAATCATTTTTGAAACGTCTGCTCTCGCAAACGAAACACCATATACTATTCGGGTCGCCACACGTGCATATTCGTTTCGTTGGACCCTGAAGGGTCGGTGGTGGTGCGGTGCCGGCAGACGGAGATTTGGATGAGATGGAACTAGATTTCTTCAAGTTCGATGGAAGAGTCTGAGATCGTTTTTGTGTTGAAGGTTTTATTGCGGAAGATTGCGTCTTGGATTTCACCACGGGATCTTTCTTTACACCTTCCTCATTACTACTTTTCCCAACTTTCTTTATCATGACAAAAGGGGTTAGATGAGCATCCATGTGATTCTCGAGTTTGTACCTTATCGGTTTTTGTTGTTTCTCCAATATGATCTTGGCAAGTTTATTTTGTTCCTCCTTGAGTCGTTTTTCGATGGATTTTATGACCTGTTCAATAGATCCTTGTTGCTCGGACACCTCACTTGGAGACATCAGCATCACCGACGATGGACTTCGCTCGGAATCGGCTATGTCCGATGGGGTTGGCGAGGCACGCTTCCTGCCGACCAAGAAAGACGAATGGTAGGAGGAATCGCGAGTATGTTGTCTGGGTGTGGATGGAGCGGTGGATTTAGGAGAAGATTTTTCAGATAAGGGTTTAGTAAATCTTGGCGACGCCGTCCGTGACTGTGTAAGGGTAAATAACGAGTGTTTCTTTGTTAGTGAACTAGAATCTCGGAGAGTTGCGGGATAACAAATATGGTGACAATGTACGTACCGTAGGCGATCGCCTTCTTGGGCTATTCGTTGGTGGTGTGTTCATTTTTCTTTCGATTCAATTTTGTATGCGTCTAAGATGTCTATCTACAAGAGAGGATGGCTCATATACGAGTCGTTTTGTGTTCTTTTGATTGAATTCTATCTATCTACAAAAGGTTTTTGGACAAAGCTAAGAGAGAGAGCCGGTGGAAATGTCCAATATATATATATTTCAACAGTGGAATCTAATACAATGCAAGATTTCTATAGGATAAATTTCGGAGTCGACGTTTCTTATCGTCAGAATGTGAAGAGAAGTCAACCTCACTTTCCTTTTTTCTTTACTTCTTTCGAAGAGAATCCGAATTTGAAATTTTGAAAAAAGCTCAGCTCTTCAATATTCCACAGCTTTTTTTTTTGAAGAAAGAAAAATAGAAATAATAATAATAATTCTAGGTTTTGATATATATTTTTTTGATTATGGGAGAATTGTGTATATTAATATACGTATTCGGAAGTATATACTCCACTGATAAGTTTGATATATTGTTGACTGCTGGATAGATAAATATACCGTATGCAGTTAACTCTTTTCTTCGCTATATATAGGCTAGTTGTATGTATAGGTGTTCACTGGTGTTATGGATAGATGCGCTTCGTTCAATGTATGCAATATAAGTTTCTTTATTATGTATAGCATTCCTTTCTTCTTCACTATGCGCATAAAAATTTTAAATGCAAGCTCATTAGAGAAAAAAAAAGCTCGAACAAAAAAAAGAGATGCGAAAGAGAAAAAAGGATTGCAACGTAAACGTAGTCCGGCACGTACGTAATAATTTTTATATGCGAATATAATTGGAATAACACAAACACAGACACAAACAATAATCCAACAATTAAGAGTCATCACAGTCATCAGGGCAATGGGAATGTGATGTTTGTTCAATAGGCAATTTAACGACATTAGAATGTGCAGACCATTTTATTATTAATCGTCAGGGGTGTTGAATAAAAATGCATAGGTCGTCAAACAAGTAGACATCAAGAGATAGCGAGATTTTTCATACCGCATGCACGGTACAAGATGACCATTTACCCACCCCCGATGCCGATCAATATATGACAACTATATATAATTGGACAATGGGGATTACGCCTTTGGCCGTCGATCATCGAAAAGTATATATAGGGATTCACCAAAAATTTTCTCGGAAATTTCCGACAAAATAACACGGTTTTACGAATAGATAATGGTGAACACCTATGGAATTGTCTCATATCACATTGCGTACTGAATAATGAAATATTAATAGAGGAAGAATGAAATTATGTACGCACGCATGTGTGTATGTCGTGTCGTGAACGCACACTAGCTTACGTGCATCATACATTGTACTTAATAATGATTTTTTCCTGTAACGGTAATGAATTTAATGCGGTGCAACCAGACGGTACTGGTAAACTTACGTGCCGCAACCTCATTTTACACTTACACGATAGTTTTTGGTCGTTCGACTCGGATTTAGGTGGTGTGATATTGTTTTTCAATATTCTTTTAACGTGCAAGAGGCGGTGTGATGAAGACACGAGCCCTGATTTTAGCGTGTATCCTTTTTTGTTTAGCCCACCTCAATCATCCTTTGGGGGATTACTTAAAGTGAGAATTATTTGAATGAGTGAAACTGGCTGATTCTGCTACGCCCGCTAACCTTAATTCCTTGTGATCGCTAAGGATTTTTTTAATTCATGAATAGCTGGTAAGGATTAATTAAGGTTTGTGTGATTCTTTTGCTAAAGTTAAGGCTTGGGGCTTCTCTCTTTCTTTTTACCATACAATTAAGTAGAATGTAATTACCCCAATCGTCCTTATTTTAAGATTAGGTTCGTGCGGTAAATTTAATCTTAACTAGTAGTGGGTGACTGTTATTATTAACGCTCATCATTTCGTCATCGGGAGGCTAATTATTTACTCTCTAACCTTTTTTTTTTGCTTCTTAGTTTAGACATGATTCACAACAATCAAATTTTTCGAAATTTCGAATTCCATAAAAACACGTCGTCCATCACTTCCAACTTATCAATGACGACAATGATTTTGCATGATTCCTTTTAACAGCAATAATGACCTCGATGCATGAAAAGAGCCAATTATTGCCATTTTATTAACTTTCATTATTTCACACAGTGTTCAAAGGAGCCTATGTTCAACGTCAGCTTTAATGACCTTTTGTTTGCGGAGAATGCTTTGTCGCATGCGACAACTATCGACCTATAATAATGTGGAAACTGTTAAGGTCTTCTCACAAGACCTAATATTTTTTTTCATGGTTTACAACGTCCAACTGTTTCGCTCCATCTCGTACAATGCTAAAAAAAAAATGTTTGTGAACACACGACGTACCTGGGCACAATGCCGTACCAAATATGTAAAAATGTAAATGGAATATGAATTACCAAGTCAATGTCGACGAATCAGAACGTCGATACGATAATGTCCCCGAATTCGGTTGTTTGTTATTTGTTAGACATTGCCGCTCTTCGTTTATACGCCACAATATTCTTTACGCTTTAACGTTTCAACATGATTGTTCGCCCACACTACACCCCCACCATACCAATTTCGATAGTTTATGGATATGTAGTACTGTAGCTGCTTTCCCGCTGTCACGCTCATTTAACTATTAATCGCATGTGAAACGAGAAAAATGATTTGACGATCGACCAGAAATGAAACAAAATGTATACTTACATAAGACCCTATTGTAACAAAAAAGTGAAGAACTCCAAAAATTATTCGTGCATAAAAGATTTTCCATACCCGCTTCTTCATAAGCTTACATTGATAAGCTACAGCCAAAAGCGATGATGTAAATAATGTACATGCACGTACGTACGAACGTAGATCCGCCTTTTTTTTTGTCTTCCGATTTGCTGTGTGCGCGAGAAAAATTCAAATTCCTTTGATAAAAAACATGAATACACAATAGGTCTCTTCGACACACATTCTCAAATCTTCATTCCTCCTGTAAAGTAAATCTTCATATGATATGTCAACCGACTGATTGCCTTTTGTCGTTAGCACTTACACAATTGACAGCAAAACCCCTTGTAAATCAAGGATGACATTTTACATGGGACCATGTAGTTTCACGGAGACGCACTGTATGTATGCTAGGATGATATATATATTTTTTTTTGACACGAATAAACTTGCAATTGGATCTGCATTCTGGCACATTCCTAAGAATCGCAAAAAAAAAAAAAAAACCCGGTCAAAGAAGCAACACGATTGGTGGTCAAATTCATCAAAAGATTTTATCCTTCATCAGCCCACCTTTGTGCAAAAGTGGTCATGGGGTCAATACTCGAAAAGTATGCATTCAAAAGAAATAATTTTTGATCTACCGCCATGACGAATCTTATTTAGAAAATATTTATTTCTATAAGGTTCTCCCATTGATAATAGCGCCCCCCCGGTCTCATAAAAATAGATGGATAGGTAATTCTTACCTGAAAAGTTCTCTAAAAAGGTTTAATATTGCACGCATATATCTTATGTGCCGTACATGTAACTTTGATAATTAAAATTTCAAACTTTATGTCAGATTAAATTTCCATTAAATTTAATCTTACCCAATGCACATTGGTTTTGATGCTTTATTAAAACCCAAAAATTGTGTGCTCAATCATTTTAAAAAAAAAAAAAAAAAAATAGACGGATAGACGGATAGATCTGATTGATCGATAGATAAAGTTAAAGTAACAATTTTTATCGAGTGTTTATATTTGATACATTTTTTTAAAATAGACCAAATAATAATAAGTTAGTTAATAACCTAAAAGTATGCAAATACTGTAAATAAATATTATATTTTACTTAATTTAAACGTCCTGTAGATACTGTAAATATGCGTTTTGTCACATTTATGATCTTTTTAATTATTCGATTACGGTATCTAAAAAATATACTATTAAATGCAAATTATTATATTTCTTATACAATAGTAATAATATGTAATAATAATAATATAATTATAATTATTTTCTTTTTACAAAACTTTTTTTTGATAATTTTTTAATTACAACTTGATTCTTTATTAAAACAAATCCTATTTTCAATTTTTAAAAAAGCTACTTTATCAAATAAAATTTATTTTTAAAATTTGTTAATGATATTATAAATTTATTTATACAATATATTGTATTATAAATTTTTTTAAAAAAATCTTGATATTTTCATAATTTTTATAAGTTACATATTTATTTATTTATTATTTTTTTTTTTAATAATTTTTTTAAAAAAAAAAAATAATTTACTTCTTTTAAAAAATTAATATAATTATTGTTATCTCAATATATTTATAAAATTGTATCTTACTATATTCAATAATATAATAATATAATAATTTATATCAATATATTGATTTTATATATTTATTGTATTAACAAAAAATATAATAATAAAATATAATATTTATCAATTAGAAATTTTAATTATTTTTATTAAAAAAACCAATATTAATTATTAATAATTTTTTATAGACTTTTTACAATAATATAAATTATTTAAATATGTTAATAATTTAATACTTATATAATTTTTTATACTTTTTTATTATGGAATATTTAAATTATACTTGAAAAAATATATATTAAATTCTTTATATAACTTAAAAATTAACCTTTGTATAGTATATAAAAATAATCAATTTTTTTTTATTTTATTAATTTTGCTTATTATACTGTATATTAAATTAATTTTAAAAAACAAATATATTAAATTTCAACTATAACTTAAAAACAAACTTATATATTATTTATAATATCTTTATATGTTTAAATATTATTTAAAATTATATAAATTTTAATAAAGGTTTTTTGTAACTTGAATAATTAATTAATAATACTTAAATAAATAAATAAATATTTTATATTTTATATTTAATTCTTTTTAATAATATATATATATATTTAACTTAACTAGCTAGACTATATTTAGTATTCTTTATTTAATTTATATATATTTACATTGTATATTATAAAAAATTACTACTTGCAAATTAT